CATCTCCAGTTATCCACCTATGTACCCACCAGACTCCAATGGGTGGTTTCAATCCAAGGCCTGGCAGACAGCCATGGCCAATTAAGAAGACATTGGCTTGAGGGAAAGATCAAGAGGGGGTTAACAGGTGAGGGGAGAGGATAGAAAATGGAGAAGAGAGCAACCAAAAAAAAAAAAAAAAAATATATATATATATATATATGTATATATATATATGAAATTGTCCAAAAATATGACCAAGTAAAAAATTAAAAGATATTACAGAAACCCATGGTGATTAAATAACTATTAAATAAGTGGGTCATGGAAGAAATGAAGAAAACATTTTAAATTCTTGAAAATGAAAATGCACAAATGAGTGGGATACAATTTAAAGAATTTAAAGCAGTCTTACAAAGGAGGTTTATGCTGCAGTCTTACAAAGGAGGTTTATGCTGGGCGGTGGTGGTGCATACCTTTAACCCCAGAACTCAGGAGGCGGAGGCAGGAGGACCTCTGTGAGTTCAAGGCCAGGCTGGTCTACAGAGTGAATTCCAGGGCATCCAGGAAGGACTGTTATATAGAGAAACCTTGTCTTGGGGGGTGGGGGCGAGGTTATAGCTCTAAGTGCCTACATTAAAAAAAAATCAGAGTGATCTCAAATGAATATCATACACTTTAATGTACTGCAAAAATAAGAACAAACCAAACCCCAAAGCAGAAGATGAGAAGAAATAACAAAGATAGAAATTTAATGAAATTGCACCGAAATCTGTTAAACCTTTAACCAAAGTAACAAAAAGAAAGAGAATAACAGAATTAAATATAAAGAGAGAAATTACAACAGATAACAATGGAATTCGGAAATATATGAAGACTTGCCTTAAAAACTTACAACTAAATTGGAAGATCTAAAAAAAGAAAATGAATGAATTTCTAGGTGCTTATGACATACCAAAGTTAAACCAGGATGAAATAAACAATTTAAACAAACTATAATGAGCAATACAACAAAGCAATAATTAAAAATCTCCCAATGATCCCTGGTGGGGTGCACCTTTGCTCCCAGGATTTGGGAGGCAGGTGGAGCTCTGAGATTTTAAGCCCAGCTCCATCTACATAGCCAGCCCAGGCCATCCAGAGTTGCACAGAGACTCGAGAAAGAAAGAAAGCAAGGAAGGAAGGAAGGAAGGAAGGAAGGACGGACAGATGGACAGAAGAGAGAAAGAAAAGGAAGGAAAGAGGGAAAAAAAGGAAGGAAAGAAATAAAAGACAGGAGGCTAGAGAGATGATTCAGTGGTTAAGCATACTGGACTCTCTTCCAGAGGACGCAGGTTCAATCCCCACATGGCAGCTCTCAATTGTCCAGTTCCAGGGGATCTGACATCCTCACACAGACACAGCAATGCATAGAAAAGATAAAAAGAAATCACTGAAAGGAGAAAATGCCTCTGGCTGGCAAGTCAGCTCAGTGGGTAAAGGCACTTCCCACCAAACCTGGTGACATGAGGCCAATCACAGGACCCACATGGTAGACAGAACTGGCTCCTGCAAGTAGCCCTCTAACCTCCATATGCATACCATGGCCCACATGTGCACAAACACTCACGTACATACACCCATAAAAATATTTAATGCACAAGTCTAGATTGAGTGTCCAGACCTTCAAAGAACTAAAACCAGCCTTGGATGTCCTCAAGTGTCCGTTGTTTTTTGAGACAAGGTCTCACTATGTAACCATGGCTGACCTGGAACTCACAGACACCTGCCTGCCTCAACCTCCTGAATGCTAGGATTAAAGGGAAGTGCCGCTACGCTCTGCCCTAATCCCCACCCCCTCCTTTATAGTGATTTATAACACACGCATATAAACAGATATTGTCCTTTCGTTTCACTCGTCTGGCCCTGCTCTTTGATTTGATGAGTTCTCAAACTGTCTGAACTCCACAGACACAGCGTCTACTTCCCTGTGCTTCCTTGAGCTATTTGCAGGCACTCCCTTTATATCCTTATTCTAGCTGGAAAGGGTGGTGAGCTTTCTTCTGCCCTTGCATTAGATTTATCATCTTCTGTCCAGGGAGTCACTTGGCAGGAAATCTTTCACGTTGGGTTCATTTAGCACACTGTGTTACTGCTTGTCCATGTGCTTGCTGATGCTGATAGAGATTATTTGGTTATACAAATGTGATTAATTTTCTAATCATCTATGCTGGTGAACAGTTGCGTTGTTTCCTCTTTTGATTTGATCAAAAATAAAGCTGCCGTGGACATCTGTGCACGCACTTTTTTTCCTCATTGTGCGTTGGGGAAGAGCATGCTATGGTACCTATGTGGATGTCACAGGACAATTTTGTGGACTCAGTACTCACCTTCCACCTTTTTGAGGGATCTGGGGATTGAACTCAGGTCCTTGGACTTGTATGACAAGCACTTGGCTCACTGAGACTTCTTGCCAGCTGTGTGTGTGTGTGTGTGTGTGTGTGTGTGTGTGTGTGTGTTTAAGATAGTGACTGTTGTAACCAAGAGAGCCTCAAACTTGGTATATGTTGCTGAGAATGGCTGACCTTGAACTTCCGATCCTGTCTCTACCTCCTGGGTGCTGAAATTACAAGTATGCACACCCACACTAAGTTTATGGACTGCTGGAGATTGAACCCAAGGCCTCCTGATTGCTAGGCAAGCACTGTACCATCGCACTACAAACTTCAGACTGCACACACATATTGTGAAGACACATTTTCATTTCTCATCTATTTCCAGGAGTGGAACTTTGAGTTATAGGATGGATGCATGTTTCGCATCTTCCCCATTAGTAGTTTGGGTCACACTTCTGCCACCACAATGGAAAATAGCTATTACTTCCTGTCTCCGCCCCGTTTAAGGCCGTCCATGTTTCTTACCTCATTTCCGCAGGATGGACGTATTTTTAGGAGCCATTCGTGAATCTTCTTCTGCAAAGCACTTGCTATGCACTTTGTCATGGGTTCATTATTTAGATCTACTGTGTGACTGAGCTGAAATCGAGGTATTGAAACCCCTGTTGGTATGTCAGATTGTACTAATTTTAATTATTTCACTGGATTAAAAAATGACCAAGTTTTCCCCACCTTTATTCAATGAGCCAGTGTTGCTTACATCCTGATCTTGTAGCCCAACTTTGGGAATTTATGTGGGAATGAATGGGATCCTACCCAGTTCTTAGAAGCCATTCTGATTCCTGTATCACAGGCTTCTTTATGACATCATCAAGGGCTTCCCTCCCTCGCTCTTCTTGCCAGCTCCTTGGCTGGTGAAGTGCAGACCTGAGATGATGTCTCCATCATAACTAGCCATGGGGTAATTTAAGACTGCAGACCTGGGAGATTTGAACCATCTGTCTCCAAACATGGGCTCTCTATGTAGTGTAAGTTGTAGGCTATAGATGGTGGATTTCTAGTTAATCAGGAGATAAGTCCTGTGTCTAGGGTTGCTGGGGGGAACTGAGGGAACTGGGCATGTGTTGAAGCAGCTATGTAATTGCTCAAATAACAACCCACTCATAGATTTCCCCTTTAACTGTGGTTATAGAACAGGAATGGTTGCTGTGATATCGAAGTTGAAAAAGTCTACATAATCCGTGAACTCCCAGAAACAGCAAAGAAACCGAAACAGGAAAAAAAGTCAATTCTTCCAGCCCTTCCAAAAGCAGTACCACGCCACAAGGTTAGAGGTGCCCCTGACCTCTGCCACATCTCTGACCTTTGTCACCCAGACTTATGGTGGTCTTCTCCATGTCCCACACACAGGGTGGTCATGGAATTTATGCTCCACACAGATCTGTGTGAGCAAGGGGTTGGGAAGCTGTCACTCAGAGCAACCATCAGAAACCAAGAAACCAGTCTCCCTGTTGGGAGCTGGGTTGGACCGGGGCTCTTCTTTGACTGTCTCATCTGCCCGAGACATGATGACTGGTGGTGTGGGGGAGGGGAGCCCCATCAGGAGAACAACGCCCTGTGAACTGGGGAGTGGGGTGTGAGATCTGTGTTTAGGGAACGCATCTAAACAGAAGAACTTGTACATCCGAGGTTGTGTCAGAGTGTGAGTAAATGTACACACGCATGTGCGCCTGTGCATGCATGTGCGATTGTGTTAACTGAAGTTTAAGGTTTGGGAAGGAAAAGTGAGAAACAGATGAGGTCAGGCCCCCAAGTTGTGTGAGGAGATGAATTTAATATTAGAACCTAGTGGAGGGAGGGAGCAGGTTGTGAACTGCGGCAGAGGAGGAGAGGGCAGAGTGAGTAAAGAATGCCAATTCCCTGGAAGTTCCTGGTAGGAAGCCTCAGCCTCAGTATGTGGTCTTGCCCAGAAAGAGCCTATAGATTACAAGGCTCTTGTTCTAAATTGGCAAACCAGGTCCATAGACACCTAGTGAGGGGCTAGAGAGATGGCTAAGAGAACTGGCTGCTCTTCCAGAGAACCTGGGTTCAGTTTCCGGCGCCCATGTGCCGGCTCACACTTGCCCGTAACTCCATGTGAGGGCACCAGGAACACACGTGGTACAGACATACATGTTGGCACAACAGTCATGCATACAAAATAGTTTTTAAAAACATACAGGAATGAATGTGGTAGATCTTAGAAATGGTGACATAAGGACTTGGGTGTTAAGGAGAAATTAGTTCGTGAACTGATAAGGCAGACAAGGGAAACCAGAGGTAGAAGTGAGCCTTCCTGCTTCCAGGGCTCATTCTGTTGCCCTGCCGAATGCTGAAGAATTTGAGAGGCATCCGTGGTTAGTGACAGGATCAGAGCATCTTCTGAGAATACCATGGGGAATGTGTTCTCTATAACCTTTCCCTTATTATAGCTTTATTCTTTTTTTCATGAAAATATATATAACGTACTTTGATCACATTTTCTCTTTTATCCCTCACCCTAACGTGTATTTGTGTGTGTGGAAGGGGGTGTCATTGCATGAGGAGGGCTTTGTTTACATCGTTCAAGATAACTTACCAGTAGCTTCACCCCTGTAAACTGAAACCATGCTTCACCTTTCACCTCACAACCACCCATCTCCACAGCCTCCATCTGACAAAGTACGGAAGGCCAGAAAGATCCAGGCCTGGTGGCGAGGTACACTGGTAAGACGTGCACTGCTGAAGGCCGCCCTCAGTGCTTGGATCATTCAATGCTGGTGGAGAAAGATACTGGCCGCACAGCTGGAGAAGAGGCGCCTGGAGGCTCTGCACTGGATGACACAAGAAACAAGGGCCTGTGTCACTATTCAGTCCTGGGTTCGAATGCTGATAATCCGCCAACAATACTGGCAGCTGCGTTGTGCTGCCCACATCATCCAGGTGTCATGGCGCTGGTATAACTGCCATACCCGTGGCTTTTTTGAGGGTAGCTATGAGCTTGCAGGGAACCAACTAAGTCTCCAGCTTGACATCTTCCTGGGATCACAAGTGTGCCGTATATCAGACTGCATATCTTTGGCATTAAAGAACTGATCAGGTCTTCTAACAGATGTCACTGGGTCTTTGTAACACAAACCACTTGGCGTCCCCATCCAGCAGCAAGTCTGCACGATGACTGCAGATACAAAGCACCCCACAAGCTTGCTCTGTGACAGCAGCATCATGTGTCTGATCTCCCAGGGGCAGAGGATGAGAGCCTTGGACCTCAACAGTGCCAGTGTCTGATTAGCAATGCCTGCATGTCTGGAGAGTAGGGATAAAGTCACCAGGAACACTGCTAGATGCCCACTCCCTTTAGTCGTTCAATATGCCACTCTCTTGTGGTCACCCTCTAACGTCTCCCCATCTATTAGAACAAATCTCACAGCCTCCCCATGTCCACAACCCTAATGGTGAAGCTGTATCCTTCAAACTCTCCCATGTCCTCTAAGACACGCTGCCAGTCATAAAGTATCTCAAGCAGAACATGCCTGCCTTGTTCCCATTCAGAAGTTGGACCTTGTCCTGGTCCCCTAGGGCAGTGTTTCTCAACCTGTGGGTCTCAGCCCCTTTGGGGAGGTCACATATCAGATATTTACATTATGATTCATAACAGTAGCAAAATTAACAGTTATGAAATAGCAATGAAGCTGGGCATTCCAGTGCACACCTATAGTTCCAGCACTCAGGAGGCAGGACGAAGGTGGATCTCTGAGTTCAAAACCAACCTGGTCTACAGGAGCACTTGTTGCTCTTGCAGAGGACCTAGGTTTGATTCCAAGTACCCCAAATGGTAGTTTACAATCACCTGTTAGCTCTATTCTGGGGGACCTGACACCCTCTTCTTGTCTATGAGGTACTATATACATGTAATGTTTGTATATACATGCAGGCAAACATTTATACACATAATTTTTTGGAAAATAAGTATACAAAATATTTGGAAAGAATTGAACTAATGAGGCTTGATGGTACAGTCTGTGAGATTCGTTGCCAAATAAGTGATACTGAACCTTCTTTAAATTACATTGGGTGTGCATGACACCGAGATGAGCGCTCTAGAAACCTGAGATGTCCCGACATGTTATCAATCATAACTCATTAACGCTGGAATGCTGTAGACCACAGAAATAGAAAGAATTCTGGTTAGGAGGCTGGCAGACAACAGCAGACAGTGTCTCTGGGTTATAGACTGGGAAAGCTGGAGAACAGCTATTCAGGTGCATGGTCTCTGAATACTTTAGCTGATACCCGAAACCATAAACCTAACACTGCAGGAGGGCAAGTCCAGAGCGAGTCCCAGAGTGCTCCCTATGCACTCCTGGAGACTGCCAAGAGCAGACACAGGAGCCACAACTTAACACAGGGACGTTCAGAAAACCTGCACTCTGCTTTGTGTCTGACTTGAATTTTGATTTGGAGACAAGAGTTTCTCTGTGTGGCTCTGGGCTGTCCTGGAACTCACTCTGCACACCAGACTGGCCTTGAACTCAGAGACTGTGAGTGTCGGAACTGAAGGTGTGTGCCACACTGCCTGGATGCACTGTACTTCTATATCAGGAATTTTAAGGATAGGAAAATAGGGGGATTTCTTGTCACCGGGTGCTCAGCACTTTGGGCTCAAAGCCCAGCATTCTAGTGGAGCAGTGGCAAGATGTCCCTTCGAAAAGACCCCTTCTGTAAGGGTCATGACTTTGGGAGCAGGGGAGGAGCACAGGAGGAGTTGCAGAGAGGGGGAGACTAGAATTATTTAGGTAGAGTGCTTATATGTGAAGTTCTAAAAGAGATAGAAATAAATAAGTATATGAGTAAACCCCTTCTATGTTCGTGACCCGGCAGACCCAGACCACAGTCTTGGGGAACTCACAGTTAAGTGTCATGGGACTGTATGCTAAAGCCTCCACAATAGAACCATGAGATTATAGAAAAGAAACTTTGAATAAGACTCTAAGAATTTGGTGAGCAGGAACCCCGGTCAGAGCCAGGGTCTGGAAGGAAACTCGCCCAGGCTCCATGCAGACAGATTTTGGCGAGGTTTACACAGAAGCAGTGCTGTGAGATAATCTTTTTTTTTTTTTTTTTTTTTTTTTGCCTTATGAAGAGGTGTATCTGCAAAGGCACCTTCTGATTGGTTTAATAAAGAGCTGAACAGCCAATAGGCAGGAGAGGATAGGCGGGACTTCGGGGAGAGAGAGGAACTATGGGAAGAGGAGAGGTGGGATTCACTAGCCAGACATGAGGAAGTGGGGTGTACAGGATGGAGGAGAGGTAATGCGCCACATGGCAGGATGCAAAGTAATGCAAAGAGTTAGGTTATAAGAGCTAGTTGGGAGTAAGCCTAAGCTAAGGCCAAGCTTTCACAGTTAAGAAGTCTCCGTGTCATCCTTTGAGAGCTAGCAATCCAAAGAAAGTGACTATAGAGAACAGGGCTTGCATTCTCATCTGGACTCCAGAAGGATGTGCGCAGAGCTGATGTGCCACCTGTGAAACTCCACCTACCAACCGGAGCAGCATCTCTGACCTGGTCTCTCAAAAGAGCATCCACAGTGAAAACACGGTGATAGGAGTGTGGTATTTGTGTGTATGAAATTGCCAGAGGAAAATTTAATCAAGGTTAAAATAAAAAAAATAAAATACAGTAATAGCCATATAAAAACCAATCACTGCTCTAGTGTCAATCATTTAGGAATCTAAGGGACACTGATAGTCCCTTGAGCACTGACATATTCACAAACAAATGCCCTGAGGCAAGACAGACTTCTAGGTGTCAGGGAAAGCATGCCAAGAGACTCAAAACTGAATCCATCAGACATGACTGCGTTCACACAGTGCACCCCCGTTCAGCTCTTTCCTTCACATTTAATCCCCCTCCAATACCCAGCGGCAGTTTAGCAGCCCAGGCCCATCCTATTCTCTCCCTGTATTGTTTCCTCCTCCGCCGCCTCTTTTTCCTCTGTTTTCTCCTCCTCCTCCCTCTCTCCTCTTCCTGCCTTCTCCTCCCCCCCTCCTCGTTTCTCTTTTTCACTCTCCTGTCTCCTTTTTCGTTTTGCACATGTCCCAGTGAACATAGACTGGCCTGGTTTACAGGGTCTCTGTGCTGAAGCTCCCAAAGAGCTGGCGATCCTCTATGCTGCCTGACCACTTCTTTTCATTCTACTCAGTCAAAAATGCCTCTTCTTTAGTAACAGCCTCCTCTGCTTATGTCCTGCTGTCTACTTTTTCCTCTAGGACCCCAATACCAATCACTAGTCTTTGTGTGTGTGTGTGTGTGTGTGTGTGTGTGTGTGTGTGTGTGTGTGTTCCTATCTCCTCCCTTATAGAGATTTTACAAGCGCAGCAGGGACCACACTGTCCTTCAGATTTGACTTGCTTCCTCTGTGCTCTTCCAGGGCAGTACAGAGAGAGACAAGCTCTCTTTGCAGCTTCATGAAGCACTTCATTTGATTCATTGCCAAACTCCTTTCTACGCACTAAGGTACTTCTCTCCGCTTCCTTGTGCTATTTCCAGACACTACCCTTTATGTCCTTAGTTTAGCTGTACACGCTAGTCTGATTTCTCCTGTCTGTGGATTGGATTTGTCATTCCGTACAAATGGAATCCTTGGGCAGATAATTTTTATACTTGGCATTTTCATTTAGCAGAGTTTGAGACTGTTCTATATTAAGTATATCTGTGTGTATTGTGACTGCTGAGCTTATTTGGGAATTGTTACATGGCTAGGCTAATCTCTTGTCCAGTCATCTATACTGGTAGGCAGATGGATTGTTTCCACTTTTGAGCTATTGGTTTTTTAAAAGGCCGCTGTGAGTATCTGTGTGCACACTTTTATTTTTTGAGACAGGATCTCACTATGTAGCTCTGGATGGCCTGGAACTCTGTCATAGACAAGGCTGGCCTTAAACTCAGAGATCTGCCTACCTCTGCTTCCTGAGTGCTAGGATTAAAGGCGTGCACTACCATGCTCTAAAAACTTGTTTTTGTTTGGTTTCAAGATAGGGTTTCTCTCTGTAGCCTTGCCTGTCCTGAAACTCTGCCTCCCAAGTGCTGAAATTAAAGGTGTACACCACCACACCCAGTTTCTGTTGTTGTTTGTTTGTTTGTTTGTTTCCTGTATCCTAGGCTAGCCTCAGATTTATTACATTCAAGTTGCTGGCTATAACTGAGGATGACCTTGAGTTCCTGATCCCCCTGCCTCTACCTCCTGAGTACTGGGATTACAGGCATGCATACCCATATCATTTATACAATGCAGGGGATTAAAAATGCCGAGGCAAGTTCTCTACCAACTTATTACAACCTCAACCCATGTATACACGCTTTGAACATAAATGTTTTCATTTTTTCATCTTTGCCCAGGGGAGGGACCTTGAGTTATAGTGTAGATACATATTCAGTACTATTGGAAACTGCCAAACACCATCTTCTGCAGTAGTTTAGGTCACACTTCTGCCAACAGCGTGGAGGAATTGTTACCTTCTGTCTCTACCCCCATTTAAAGCCCCACTTTGGGAATTTCTGTAAGAATGAATGGGATCCTACCCAACTCTTAGAAGCCACTCTGATTCCTGCATCACAGGTGCCCTTATGGCACCATTACCGTCTCCCTCCCCTCCCTCTTCTCGCCATCTATCTCTAAACATGCCTCTCTATGTGGGGTAGGTTATAGTCTGTAGAAGCTGACTGGTTTCTAGTTAATCAGATTATGAGGCTGTGTCTAGGGAAACTGGCCGTGTGCTGAAGCAGTTTCATAGCTACTCAAAGGATAAGACACTAACAACTTGCCCCCTTAATTCTTGACTATAAAGGTAGTAAAAGCCAAAGAAATCCCTGTGGAAGAAGTACAAGAAGCAAAACCAAAAAGCCAAAGTCCACACCTCCAACTGCTCAAACGTTAGGTGATTGGAGGTTGGAGGTGACCTGTGACCTGTCACATCTCTGACCTATGTCACCCAGACTGATTGTGGCCTACACATTTGGGCAGTCCTGGATGAAAAGTCCTTTAAGTTTATACTTAGATGACAACCAAAATAAATCTAAAACCTTGAGCTTGTGA